AGTTGTCCTGATCACATGAACACTGATATCCTGTTTGCACCAAGAAATATATTCTTTTTGATAACTTTACCTTTCACCTCAATGATGTGAGGCTTTTCACCCGGTGCGTGCGTGCGTGACATAACCGTGACTGCCGAAACATGCGCAATAGATCGAACTGTGGCAGCACATTGCCACGGTGCACCTATCAGTCCACAGCCAACATTTGCAATGCACACTATCACGATGTCAAGATGAAAGCCAGATCCTTTCTTCAGTTTACGGTCCTTTTTATTGACAATCAACCTGCAGAAAAAGCGTATGTTACATTCGCCTATACTTTAGATACACAAAAATCATAAAAAAAAGGCCAAATAATAGCCTTAATCCATTTCAATGTGATTATTCCAGTGATTTATATTTAACGATAATGATAATTCAGACTACATACAGAACTGAATCACAGGATGAATGGTACTATTTTGAGGTACTATCCTAACATTTTTGTTTACACCAGTAAAAATCTGGAAGAAAATCATTATGTTCAGCACTCACTCGCAGATGTGTGTCTCCATGAAGAGCAGGATGTAGACCAAGAGAGCTGGCGCGGATGCAGCAAAAATAAGCCACACATGAGTCACAACTGGAGATATAATCCAGCCTCGTTCCTCTGGACTTGAAGGGGTCAAACCTTCAGGCACCTGTAGTTTTTCTGTATATGTCTCAGGTACCAGATAGTCCAAAGTCACCATTGTGATGATGGCAATTGGCACACCAAAGTCGCCCAATGCTCGCCGAGCCTGTATGTTCAATTAGTTATGGACGATTGTCATTATACAACACTGGTAATCACTGTACCATTTTAAAGGAAATAAAAGCTACACCAGAATGGTTACTGCTGCATTTTAACAAAATAAAATGGAAGACTCATAGACACCATGACAAGTCACTCGGGTACTCTTGTTTGTTTCCATCTGAAACTAAACTGGCAAGTTATATACCACATACAAGGATATCTCGACCATCAAAACCCTGCAAACTACTTCAAGTTTTGCATTTTAGTTGTAGACCCTCATGTATATTTGTGGCCAAAATATTAAGTGTCCACTCTCCATTGTTTCTTTGTAAGACAGAATTATATTTCCTACTTTCAGTTTAACCGTCAATACATGATAATACCAAGATAGGTGCTTGAAGGTGCAAGATAGAATGATGATGCTGCTACTCAATGATCATCTGCGCATGCGCATCACTAAACTTACCTAACCTAAATCACAAAATAACACTGGTCATCATATGTGTGTATTTGCACATCTGTTAACATCACTTCTGGTTTGGGACTCACAAAGTTTAAAGCACTTGATTTTTGTTACACAGAGTGTACAATCATGGAATTTGCTTGAAGGGACTGAGAAAAACCACAATGAACCTGAATACAAAATACATGCTAACCACTTCACTCATATTTGGTTGACGACAAATGGAAACACTTTAGTTGTCATATGATAACAAGAAAGTGTCACATTCACGAGAGACAACATTCATGGAGCCCAGTGATATCCATAACTGAATATCTGTTAACATCTAATATACCACAAGATACTTACATTTCTGCCAAGAAACTTGCTATTTCGGAATCGTCTCAAATAGTACGCTATGAAGAATGTTCCAAGAGCCAAAATGAGACAAAGCAGTGCTGTATTCGGCTGTCTTTGAAAGATTTCATGATTTTCTTGGACTTCGTAAGATGAAATTGATGGCCTTCTTGAAGTATTATTCTGGGCAAGCCTATATGAAGATACGAAAGAAATCACTGCATGTCACAAGTATCTAGCAGTTATAAATCAGAAATACATTTCACACAATCAATAAAAACATCGTCATTTTTCACTTGCCTAAGAACAGATTACTCTGAGAATAGCCGCTTGTTTGTCTGTCACTTTGATATACAAAATTCAGATTTACGTACCTGAAGTCACTATAATTGTCATTAATAACTGATGATAATGATTCAATATTGCTACTGTAGATTCCAGAGCCATTTAATTCATGTGTCCCATTCTTCTGGTAACTTGCATTGTTCGTCATCGTGTCATTATACATGAAAGAATCCGAGCAATAATCCGATACCAGTGGATGCTCGTGGAATACCTGGAACAAAATAATTTTTGTTGTTCTGCTTCTGAGTTGCAAAGTTATGCAGACTTGTAGGTAGATACCAATATTTCAGGGGTACAATATGTGCAACTGGAAGTGACGTAAGCATACAATTGGCATAATAATTTCAGTATTTGTAATCTTCCTGCATTTGTCCACATGTGGCTTTTCTCTGCCTTTCATTAATTACAATTATTTATTGACCATGCATCACAGTAGCGCGTTGTTAAAATATAAAGCCCATGCTATGGGGTTTGAAACCCCTATCCCCATACAATACAGGTTAAATACATCTACAATGTTTCAAAAATAAAAGATAAAGATCTTAATAATTGTTTACATTGTATTATAAACCAGTTCTTTGTTGATGAGCACCTTTTGAGAAGATTTATAGTCTGATTTGTGTTTCACGTAGGGTAAAATTTAATACTGGGGTGAAATGAGTATGCACACATTATTAGATACGACCTCCACAATCAGCATTCACATTATGTGCTCCATGCAAAGAACACATACATATCTCTTACAAAAGAGTAAATTTCTTGATTCAACAATGTTTCTCCACTATAAAGATACAAATAGCTGAAATGACACTTACCACAAACAATTTTATGATACTCTCGACAATGTACAGAATGGAAATAAGGGCTGCAAAGATCTCTTCTGTGAAGCGAGTGAACAGTTTCACCAGGACACTACCCTCAAAACATACAACCACCAGGCCAATAATTCCCAGCCAAATGCCTATATATACACGTACCGTGAGAAAATCAAGGCCATTTGTCAAACAGAACTGAAACAAATGTAGAGTATTATTTCAAACTTAAAATACATATTTATACTGTGTATGAGGTATTCTAGATCAACATGTGGTGTTCATTTTTGACCACACATTATGTGCTACATGCTCCACCCATCACAGCCTCCTTGATTTAATAATTCATGCTAAAGACTGAAATAAAAATACTATAACATACTATGGAGTTAAGCTCTGTACCTGATCAGTGGAGGTGCTGGCAAGGAGAAAAATAGCCCAGTATCAGAACACGAACTTCAGTCAATCTGATATATCCCAGTTCAAAATATGTTGTGCTAATCAATCATTAAATCGTATTAGGTTCGGCACTATGTTACAGTGCAGCTGAAATCTCATGTTTTTAACTAGGCCTTTATGCATCCCTTCTACAAGGATAAACTCCTTAATAAGCTCTGGGAAATGTGACTTGATTTGACACTTTATGAGCACAAAGTGGTACCAGTACATTTTGATTTACAGTCGTTCGAACACATAGAAAAGAGAATGATATTTAAGTGGTTGTAGTTCAGACTTACATTGTACAGACTCTCATCAAACAGAAGCAATGGACCAGTAGCTCCTATGATGATCAGAGGCTGGCCAGCCAGTAACGCGAAGAAGATGCCTGCGGCCGATGTTGATACGAGTGTTTCCGATATGCCGATTAGATTGTTAGTCTTGTCTCCTACAAAGAAATTTTTGGAAAGTTGTTCTGTTTGTATCACACTGAAATTCCCCCACATCACATCAGCAGAGCAACCAAGAGAATAATAAATACATCAATCAAATCTAAGGTAACAATTGTATTCACAGAAATTGTAAAAATGTTATCAAAGGCCATCATTGCAACAGTGTGAACCAACAATGACAGTGGGTCATGGGGGTTGCCTAATTTCCTGGAGAAATGTGACAGATGGGCCCATAAGTTCTTCTCTGCTCATGCTAGAGTGCGAAAAACACCTAGAAAGTACTGCCACCAGTCACACACATATTGCCTCTCAGTTAATGGATGCCATAATGAACAGTGGCAGTAGGAGGGAACCAGCAGTTGATACTTTAAAAGTTGTGTGTAGCAAACCAACTGCGATGAAAGACAAGCTACTAACACAGGCTAAAATTTACAAGCTTTACAAGTGATGTAGTTCTGAAATCTAAAAATTTTACTTTAAAAGATTTATATTTCTCAAAGAACTTTTAAAAATGGTTACCAACTTTTGGACAACACTGTTGCCCCCAGCTACTCTGCATCTTGAAAATGGAAGTGATACATTGCTTCAAAATGCTGGTAACACAAGGCGTCACAACCCAAAGACCACCACAAGAACCTCAATTCTTAAAGACCAAATGTTGACACTGTTTTATTTGTCTAGAATATTCTGACGACACTGGAAGTTGAGGGCAAAGGATTCTGTTAGCCCCCTATTCTCAGCCAACATCTATTCCCTATGATACTGCACCATCTTCACATTAGCTGTCCCTTACAAAACTCACCCATGAGACCACCAAACGTAATAGCTCCTGAGAGAGCTGCGAAGTACATAAATATGGCCGCTGCTAGGCACTGCAAGTTGAATCCTTCTGTAATATCTGATTTGTAATATGGAAACCTTCGCTTCACATCATTCACCAGACCGCCAAATGGTACCTTCGTTCTTCTCAAAGGATCATCTTGTGGTGGCTTCTCGTCACCTGCCTCCAGCAGCAACAGAGCTGCAACATATACATTATTGTTAATGTTACTACATAATTAACTAAATTATGAAAATTATAAGCAATAAGCAAGAATTATTTGATCACTCAACAATACTCTTTCAAATTCATAGATTATATGATGTCAGATGGGATTGGTTGGTTGTTTCTAACTTTACTTAACAATGCATCTCAGCTGCTTAACTTTATAGCAAGATGACTGTTAATGATGAATTATGAAGGATGTATAAGGAAAGGATTATAGATTATTTTCAAAGTGATATCACACCAATGTCAAAAGGGACCAAAAAGAAACAAACAGCAAAAATAAAATTACGTATTGAGCTATGTCAAAGGACAAAATTAAAAATGAAGATATATGGAAGGAACAGGATATTTGACATTCCAGGTTTGCATAGTAGCGAAAATGCCAATCGTAACACCGTGTAGTCTTGTAACTGGTTCCCAACACTTTTGAGGAAATTATTATATCCATCAACTTTAAATCTGAAAATGGAGAAGACACTACATTCTTTGAAACATTGGTAGAGAGTACATGGCATCACAACCCAGAAGACCATAACATCAAAATGCCATAAATGGAAGAACTACAGAGATAAAATATTAGCCAACTTGAGCAGAATTAACGTATTCACTAGCACAAACGAGAAGAAAGGTCATTCAAAAGATCACAATGAAGTCTGTACAAGCTTGAGCCTTATAGACAGAAGAAGTAAACCTAGATCAAAATTATGTTTGGTACTTGTGGGTTATCGGGAAACATCGCTTTAAAAATAGGTTTGGTTAGGTTAGGTTAGGTTAGTTGTCATTTATTGAAATAAAATATAATAACTTTCAAGCATATGTCATTTATCCACACACATTAACCTAACCTAACCTAACCAAACCTATTTTTAAAGTGATATGTCCCGATAACCCACAAGTACCTTATGTTTTAATCAGTTCACATGTGCTGTTGGTATTGCGTTCATAAAAGTTAAAAATCTAATGCATGTATCAGTGGAGCTACATACCTTTCTGCATCTCATCAACTTCCAAGAGACGTGTAGTCTTCCTCCGACGAATCATCTCACTTTTTGCCTTCAGTTCACCAAAGGGAAGTAATGCCTTCCTCTCCCAGTCACCAGGTGGCAAAACGATGCTGTCATCTAAGAACTCATTGATAGCTGACAGCAGCTCTTTCCGTTCATCAGCTTTGTATGCAACTTTGTGGAATTGCTGTATGGAGCGTAAATATCTTCTTAATCTAATACTTTGCAAGCATCAGTACATTTATTATGTCAGTAGGATTTCAAAAATTGATTTTGGCAGGTATTGTTAAGGAAGGTTTCAACAAAAAACTTTTAAAAACCACAACAACTTTGACTTGTCACTTACTGTATTTGACATGAGTGTAGAAATGGATCTACCAATTTCATGGTAATCCAAGTTAGTAGTAGTTGGTCCCAACAGAATGAACAGAAACCTCACAGGGATGGTAACCTGCAAAAAAAAGGGGGGGGATACATTAATGTTTAATTGATTAGGTTACTTAACAAAACAGTTTCAACTGCAGTGGTTAGCGAGTGTCAAGTAAAATCAGAATATGGTATGAACGATGAGAAAGTACGAATTTGAACGAAGACAGTATTATATTTAATGGAAAAATCCCGCATTCAACTGAAGAGTAAGGAATAACAATCATACATCGAAATATTTTTCTCAGCACCCTGTTGTCAAACACCCACAATCTTCCTTACGGTCACGGATCAACTTTTCTCTCATACAAGAACACAACAGAGGTACAGCCAAGTTGAACACGAAACCTTTCCTTGTCTACGTTCACCAAGATGAACAATAAATTGTTACTTGTATTTGAGAGAAATTAGGATTCAACAGTTTAAAAAATGGAAAATTTTGTTGTTCGAAAACCCTGATTCATATCATAGCAACCACACCTCTACTCTAATGATGCAACTTTCTGAAATTATGTTAACTTTTACAATTTTTAAATACTTTATCCAGACCTCCTCAGAAACGGAATTGAAATCCTGTTATTCTTTGCCGATACTCACCTCTGTAATGGAAGGCATAAGAATACCCTCTGCCAGACGAACAAATGCAATGGTCGGCTGCTCCAGGAAATCCACAGCACCCACAAGTACTGTGGTAGCTTCAGCACCCAATGGTATCCTTTTTAGAATGCTCTCCTTTGCTGCCTTTTTCAGATCCTCATTGGACGATGTGTATGTAAGCTCCTCCTTCACATCAATCTGAAGAGTGAGATGAACATTCTGCTGAAATTTACAGTTCAGCAAAGAGTTCAAGCTCTCTTTGTAGACATAATTATACAATAATAATGATGGTCATCTTCTGGAATGTTGCAGGGCCCCGATGATGGAGATAGTAAGGTTCTCTGATATGTTGGTCAATATCTACGATGCTTCATAGTGCATCATCCCAGAAGACAACCATCTTCATACTTGCAGCCTTGAGAACCTCAAATCACACTTTTACAATAATGTTTTGGTGTTTGTAACTGGAGTCAATACTAAAGATTATCAAGCAAATGTGATGTTGTACTCACAATATGATTTTCAGGTTTGGTTTCAAATTCACCGTGACCAGAATGGTTGTTAATTGGCGGTGGTGACTTCACAGAGGAAACAGTCTCGATACTTGCAATTGATGGAACGATCTTGGGTTTGCCTTTATCTTCTGCCAAATTCTGCAGCATATACAAAACTACATTTACTATAAGATATAGTTTATATTCAGAATTAGACCTAAGAGCAATGTGAAACCGATATAATTTTGCTGTCAGAGAAATTTAATATCTTCTCAAACTGTTTGATAAATGCATTTCGTCAAAATCTTATCTTTCAAAAACATTAAAATTTCTACAATATTTTTATATGTAACAAGATGCAGTGTCTACTGAGAATGTTATAATTTTAAATAATTTTAAACAACATTATTTAAGTTTGTGTATAGACGGAAAATAAAAATATTGTATCAATAAAACACAAACATGACGCAATTGAGATATAAATTAAAATTTCTGTTATCACATTATTCTTGTACTCATAGCACTGTTGATTTCCAGACTTGAAGATGACTGTTCTGATATGTTGTGCCACGTACTCTGGTAGAAAATGGCTGACATTTCAGGGGTGCTTACTTCCTCCATCATCAAAACAATAATGGTGGCAGTAAGCACCTCTGAAATGTCAGTCAGTTTCTACCAGAGTACATGGCACAACACCCCAGAAAGATAGTCATCTTCATACTCGCCAACATGAGAGCCTGGAATCTTACATTTATAGACTCAATCAAGGCTCGCATCTCTCTACTAACAGTTTACATAAATTATCATCGATCTTCAGCTTAATCAATGTTTATGCATATTCACATCCTTCAAGAATTTACTGTGTATCTGTATGCAAAAAATGCAATGTTCTAACCTGTTATGTAGACATTCTGTAACACTGCAGAAAAAGCCCTTGCTTCATGTAATAAAATTATTAAAATATGTAAGAATTTTAAAAAGAATGTGATTTTGAGCAAAGGCATTTCTATTTCCAAATATATTCTAAACATTAATATTTCTGGATTGAGAGCATGAAACATTATGCATGATCTGCATGTCTCTTACCACCATTACTGTGGACAATACCTGACAATATATTTACCCGTTAGTAAAGATACCTTTTTGGTGCTCAGTAACGAGGGCTTAAGTTAACAGAAATTACATATGACCTGAGCCATTCTTACCATGTACCAAAGAAATAGGTCAATACATTTCAGTGCTTCATCATTTTTGCCTTCGGGATACTTTATATATATATATATATGTATATATATAAACTAACTTTCATAACTCTGCACTAAAAGTGACATTTCTCAGACATAAATGAGTACCATTTAACTAAGTATGGAAATTTCTTTAACAATACTTTCAGACTGTAGTTACCCTAGTTATAGTCTGTTTCTCCAGCATATTTATTACCAACAAATTATTATAATGAATTATGTATATTATTTTAGTTATTAAACTGTACTTGTTTAAAATAAGTGACCTTAAATAAGCAGAATAAGTGAAAAAACAAACATTTCAGCCTGGAGAGTGTGAAGAAATAACATCACAAGTCAGCCAGCTAATGTCTGACCAGTGTTCAGAAAGTTATTTTCACTATAAATTTCTGGTATTCCTAGAAACATGCAACCATCCTCCACCCATCATCAGCTAGTCAGCGACCAACCATGATAAACTTCATTTCAATTGAAATATATTTAAATACAGGTTTATTCATAATTCCTTGACACATTACAAAAAATCGCTACGCTTGAATGGTGCAATGGATGTTAACATAGGACATGCGGATAGAAAGACAAACTCTCCAAGTTTATTTTACATACCTCATAAATGATCCATGTGTCAACCCATTGTGAAGTGACAGACGTCAAACCGATAATCTATTTACGCCCATACCCGTTGCACCAAGTCACGATCGATTTGTGAGATGGCAGCGATGATTCGTCTTTGCAGCTCAGCCAGATCCCGTGATAGAGGCGATACAAAGACCTGGTCCTTAACGTACCCCCATAAGTAAAATATCAAATGGCGTCAGGTCTTGTGATCGGGGTAGCCAACGAAGCAGCGCATGGTCATTGGCAGCCATGCGTTCCAACGTTGTGGCAAATGCTGATTGAGGTAGACAATGACCATGAGCTGCTTCGTTGGCCACCCCTATCACCTCATCTGACCTGACGCAATGTGATTTTTTTGTATGGGGGTACGTTAAGGACCATGACTTTGTATCGCCTCTATCACGGGATCTGCCTGAACTGTGAAGACAAATCATTGCTGCCATCTCACAAATCGATAGTGATATGCTGCAGCAGGTTTGGGCGGAAATGGATTATCAGCTTGACGTCTGCCTCGTCACAAAGGGCGGACACATAGAGCATTTATGAGGTATGTAAAATAAACTTGTAGAGTTTATCTTTCTATCAGCATGTCCTATGTAACCATCCATTGCATCATTCAAGTCTAGCGACATTTTGTAATGTGTCAGGGAATTATGAATAACCCTGTATATGTATGAATCCAGGGTAACAAAAATACTTCATTACATACTGAAATGAATAAAGGAACTTCAGTTATGTCTCATCTCTGAGACTGTGCAAGTTTAAAGCCTTTAATCTATGATGTTATCCTGAAAAGCATAATTACTTCTGAAGTAAAATTATAAAAATTCTAACTGTCCCGGAACAAGAAAATTCAAAGACTGTGCTTTTAAAAATTAAGCTAACCAGAATAATATTATTTTGCGGTTGGCACTGATCTTAACAACACAAGCAAACTTTAAATATTCTGAAACATGTTTTTAAAGATGTTGATGAGCCTAGGTAAGTTTAATGGGGTGGGGTAGGGGGAAGAAAGGAAATGACAGTCAAAGGGAATATCAGATATTCTACAAATATTAGATGATTAACCAGTTAATAAATTAGAAGTGGCTATTATCATTGTAAATTAACCTTTCTCTGTATGTAAGTTGCAGCTACTACTGAGATTTGGTGAAAGGGGGGTATCGTATCACTTTCCAAATCTTTTACCAAAATAAATTAAAGCTAAAACAAAGTGTTTATCCTTATTTCAACTTCCATTACACTCCCATTCTTAATAACAATTCTTTCCTTTTATTTAGTTTTCTTTATATAAAATAAAGGTATCAGTATGATACTGTTGAATGTTTCCACAAGTCATTATTATTAGCAGTAGTACCAATATTGTTATCATTGAAATTAGCAATTATATTTCCTCCATACAACCAAAGATTAAATTTTCTCCTTTAACTTTGCAAAATATCTTGATAATGATGAAATAACTGAAATAAATTGTAATAGAATTAAATCTGAATTACATAATACCATAAAATGTGAATACACAAAACAGCACTTGAACTGAGAACTGATGACTAGGTGCGTTCGTTAACATAATAAAAATATGTGCAATGAAAAGAACATTTTTCACAGAAATATCAAAAATTAAATGTTCTGACAAGTAAATTTCACTTAAGACATATTGCAGGCAAAAACAAAAACAAACTTGGTGAACACGTGTGCAACAAAGATGTCAAATTGAGACTAAAACAAGTGTAATTCTAAGCATAGCAGTCTGCCTGTGCACAACTTCAAATCCATGCAGAAACAATATCAGTTGCTGCAAGCACTTCTGTACAGCCAGTATCAGGGTCAAAGTATGTGCAAGATGGAACATTATAATCTTGATCATTCAAACAAGGACAAATCACAAAACATACCTTCACTTAAACCAGGCATGCCCAAATTCTCTCTCTATACACTGCATTTTCTACTCTAAACGTACAACATTGCCATTTAACATAGTGTTGCCACTATTACGATCGGACATCATTTGTGAAGTTGAGGGCGCAAAAATTTAAGTCAGCCATAACTTTAACTATATTAACTAGAGCAAGCATCAAATTCTGTGGCAGGGATCGCAAAAAACGCAAGTCACGCATATTAAACAACTAAACAATGCAACTGTGAAAAATACATAACGTTATCGTTTTGAATGGATTTGTACTTTACCTACGTAACTCTAAGTAGTGGCATTGCCGGTATAAGTGGAGGGCAGAAATGTGAACATTTATTACAATTTTTAAAACATTACGATACCACCGACTGTCAGAATATTTATAAGACCACGATATATTTTTTTCTCGTTTAACTTCTAATTGAGCAATCACAATATCTGCTGTTGACTGTAAACTTCAGAGTTGTGATACCACGTGGTCTTATAGATAGTTATGAACCTACATGACGTCACAGCTCAGGACACCACAGTTAGAATCTTTACCATGAGAACCACAAACCTCATACAGTATATGGCAATGTAAAGAATCATCGGTGGTAGAAACAAAATAACTTTGATAAGTATCATCTATTGCAGTTAATAGGGCTACCAGATTACAAAACAATAAATCGCCATGTAGAGACAATTATACCAATTATTATTACAATTCAGATACTCTACGATACACCATATTATATGAAAAATTCAAAGGTCATTGAAAATACTGGGTCGGAGGAAATGAATCATAATTTTGCAAGAATACCCAAGTGCTGGTAGACTGTCCTTTGTTATGTATGGCAGCTGTAACACAGCAGCACATAGGTGCTGAGCACAATGTAGTGTTACTGAACGGCGCCTTCCTTGCACTGTTACTTTACTGCATTTTATTTTGTAAGTGTACAAACCCAATCAGGATTTTTCTCTTTACTGCCACGTCCAAACTGCCTGTTAAGACGCATCCAGAATCCCACCTAGGAGGTAACTGGACAAAGCAGTGGGACTACGAAGCTGTCAACTCATCTCCATTTAGTGTAAAGTTCTAGAATGTTTGGAGCTTTACTTCCACACCTCCTGTATGATTTTGGGCTATGGTGCTTAGGCACAGCGGCAGCTTTTTTTACTTATGTATATATGTCATTTTAAGAATAGGGAGTGCTCATATCTGGAGAAATACAACAATCCCGATGGTAATACAGTATATAGATTATTAAAAAATAAGATATTGCCATCGTGCGCCATCCATGATGGATGTTCTCAAGAACATGAAACAATGACAGGGCTGTAGTAAATCTATGACCTGGTATGTGCAAATTATTTTTTGACTTTTGCTTTAAAAGACGTAACGGAGAATATATTAATGACACATAGAACATGCGGTATTTTAAAAGAATTTTGTCACACTGATATAAAGTTTCATTAAGCGCATATTCAAAAGTAGTGTTTCCTTGAAAACTCAATGACGAAAGTGGCCTGTGACATACGAACACGTGAGACAAGATCTGAGAGGTAAAACTTCCCAACTGACTGAAAGAAACGTTTATGGTGTCACCCCTGACACGCCATTTTAAAGTATAAAACAATATGCAATAAGCAGGTAAAGTAAAATTCCATTCTATTTTGTAAATAAATTTAAAGAAAAATAAAAGAACAATAATATACCTGGGATATATTAAAAAAAACATGAATATAAATAAAGGCACTAGAAACCAAGTGGGGAATCAGCAGCATCATTCTACTAAGTATAACAATTAAAACAATTACACTGCTCAATGATTTAAACTCTCCGATGAACTCAAGGTATCCGCTGGTATCTTCGTCCACGTCCATCAACGACAATGACTGCCATAAGAAGAGGAATAATTGAACACACATTACTATCACTGCAAGTAAGTCTTTCAGTTTGGTAATCAGGAAGTAGGCGGGAGTTTGAGGACAATGGACGTGACACTCCCTCCATCAGGTTCAGGCGGCAACCCAACTGTCACTTGTCCCAAAATTTACCATACAATTATACCTGCCACCCAGAATGGGACACTTTGGTCACTGCTTCAAAATCCTGACATATTTTATAGTACTAAAGCACCTTAACAACCTTAGAAATAAATGGTTCCATGGAGCAGAATCCATGTTCAAAAGCTAAAAAGCGTAGATCACATCGTTACATCTACCGCCTAACACAACCTTCAGGCCATGACAGACAACTGCTTCTATGTCACTAACCTTATGACTTACAGGTGTTAGGCTTTAGAGCTATACACGTGCATGTCCACGTGCCTTGATGCCAAATGTAATGTCAATACCTGAATTTAAATTATTTAGAATAGACTAAATACGATATCTACATAGAAATAGATTTCATATTTATGTAGAATAAAAATGAATTACAACCAATGTGCTCTTTTAAAAGGAGATGATATGATTCTAGTTCAAGAACTGGGTTGCTCACATATGTCTTTGCAAATACAGAGAACTACCCTCAATTCACTTAGTCTGTTGGTTACAGTTTTCAATGAAAAACTGTCACCTTTCAGGAACAAGAAATAAAATAATCCTGCAGAGTAAGAATAAATAATTAGCATTTAGAATCTGGTAATTTTTTTTATAAAAATAACAGTAACATAAACATTTTTCCATATCCTTTATGTAATTTGTATGTAATAATTTTCAGTACATTAAAAGCCATAATTAATCTGTGCCATTCAAGTGAAATAAGGTATGATTGGAAGGGTGACCCAAAACAACTCACCTGGAGACTAGTGTAACTTGAGAAAGTTCTCCTCGTACCAAACCGGAAGCGATCATGTTCATTTACATGTCGATGTCTCAGCAGCAAAGCTCGCATTATCGTGGGTTTGTCTTCAGGTTCAATGAGTTCATCCACCACCATCTGCTCTACCACTCGATAAGCCACTCCTGGCAAATCCTTCTCCTCTAAATCCAGCAGTACCACACCTTCAGAGGCAAAGTGGATTATATCATCAGTTTAACTTATTTTGGTTCCCTGGTCCAGCATTCCAGAAGTCATGCTCTGGTACAATCCCAAACTGAGTCCAACACTTTTATAATTTAAAACAATGAAAATGTATTTGATGGTTTGTTATGCATTCAAATAAATATGCAATGCATCTTCATTTTATGGAAGAAAAATATGTTTGTTAACTGAAAATAAATTTCCCATTAATGTCAAGGTAAAAATTAAATATACTGGCCTGACAAAATACTGTACATATTTTACAAGGACAGCTGACAATTTTAAAAGCAAAAATTTGTTTACTAAACTTCCTTCAAATCTCAGGTTAATTTATTTCAAATGGAGTAATTTATTAAACTCACTCTGACATTAACACAAATCATATTTCATTCCAAATTTAAACTGAATCTAAAAACTTTAACCTTTAAACAAAATAAGTTGGACCAGGTTAGGTGTTGCATATTAAACACACTGACCTCAAAGGGGTCACATTCAAGCCTGCCACAACGCAAAAACATATATTTTACCTGTCTCCAAACAGCGACGGAGGTTAAGCAGCGAGTGAAAACTCAGGGAAGCGACATGAGGACGACCCCATCTGTCTGCACCTTCTTCTACGTCTTCTTCATACTTGATCCAGCGAGCAGTTTCTTTCCACTCCCTTTCATCTCCATCCCCATGCAACTCATCTAACTGAACAAACACTTCATGTGGGCTGTGGTCAAACATCTTCTTGAGTGTATGGAGTGGCAGGACTGTCTGTAGGGGATCCACTCCATCCTTCCTCCCAATGTGGATCACCGATGATGATGAATTTTTGGATTGGATCTTGTAGCGACGCAAGCCTTTTGCATCATCACATCGATGACCTATAAATATCCAGTAATTATAAAATGTTTGCATATATAAAATTTAAAAGAAGGACCACAACAGACTCATTCAGCACAACACAAATAAACGGGCGCACACGTCCATTCATGTACTACGATAGCAATCATAAATAAAGGTCTGTTATTCTGACAAGTATTTTAACTTTTATAATTTTTACACAACATTACCAAATTTTTTACTGCATTCTATCTACATGAAGTCAGTAAAGTTAGTTACTTGTCAGATCATCAATATCTTGCTCCTGCAGCATGCAGACTTCCTCCGGTTGAATGCTGACACGACGGGTACTTCCAACAGAGAAATCGGAACCTGCACGAACGCGACCATCATCCTGAAGACTGTACTTGCGCCGATGGTAGTGATGCCGGAGATGTTTCCTCTTCTGTTTCTTCTTCTCATCTGATTCTACACTTACAGGGTCTTCTGTTACTGAATCCTTTCTTTCTGCCTCTTCTGCTGCTGTTATTTCCTCATCTTCCAGGGCTCCTTCTATTACTGATTTTGTGTCACCTGTTTAAAATTTGTATTATTTAATTATTTTCACTGTAATATTCTGTACATGTTTGGATAGCAAGTCACAACCTTTTTAAATACTAGTGTAGGAAGTTTGTTAAGGTCATATTCAAGAAGACATTATGTTAAATTATATCCTGCTAACATAGTATGTGTAAGCCCAAGGTTACGAACAAATGACTTGTACATGTTGATTATGACAATTTCCTACTTATTTTCTGCCCATACACATGCAGTTTGTTCCACACCCTGTGCATCATTTGTAAGGCAGCCATCCTGATCACTGATGTGGAAACTTGCACATGAGCACACAACACTATGTACACAGAGCGTCATGTAAGAACTTCTTACTTACGGTTATACTTTTATGACGCATAAATTTAAATATCATGAGTTCCGAGTTCAACTTCCTTAACATTGCGAATTACAGCTGCTAACCAAGAGTATGTTTATGAAAATGATATCTTCATCTGCACCAATTAATCATCATTATCCTCCAACTTATTTAATTTTAAGCTATTAAATATTACTTAAAACAATATTTTTAATGTTGAATCATTATTTGACATATATATTCATTTAAATTCCTTTTGTATGTTAATTTATTTTTAAATAACCAAACAGAAATCACAAATGCCAAGATGAACACTGACAAAATCTGATTAGAGATGTAATTCCCTTTATTAATAAAG